TTCATCAGTGTCTGAATTCACTCATTAGTGTTCATTAAAACTGTCAGGTGAACTATATTAGTTAACTAGTGTATGAAATAGTGAACAAGGACACAAAGTGTGATTTCAAACACAGACTTCAAAACATCGAATCTGAACTCTGTTAGCTCACAGTTTTCTGCAGTTGGTTACTTTCTCGAAAACAAAAATGTTACCCAGAAAGCACTGTTTTTAACAGAATATTACTGTTTTAGTGAAAAAACATTATTTTACCGTAGAATCTGACCGTTTTTTAACAGCAATTTTTTACAGTGTATATGTGGAACTGAATCTGTAACATTAAACCATTTTTCAGCAAATTTATTTTTTGCTATGGTTAGAGCTGCTCCCTGCTTACCTAATATGATGTGTTGTGAGATCATTTCAATTTTTTGCCCTTCTGTTTCTTTCTGCCATTGCTGTTCTATGTCTGGATTTCTTTCAGAATCATAAACCATTGTGCAATGAAAACCTGATTTTGGTATCTGTGCTTCATCAATTTGTGCTTCAATGTATTTTCCCCATTTATTTATTGTTTGTTTTACATCATTTTCTATTTGTCCTATTCAATACACATTAGCTTTTGGTTCGGTAATTACCATTTGATTTTCAATTCCTTTTGCATCTATATACACTCCATCTGAAGTACACCAAATATGTAGTCCTAATTTACATAATGCATCTCTTCCTAGCAAATTGACTGGAGTTTGACTTGATACTAGAATGGGTAGCGTCACACTTTGATTTTTAGTTTGTATACAAACTGGAGTAGTCATTGGAATTAATTGAACTTTTCCCGAGAATCCTATTGTCTTTGCATATTTACCAGACAGGGGAAGATGTGACGCATAATTTGAATTAACAGAAGTGTAAACAGCTCCAGTATCAAGGAGCATTGGTATTGTTTTTCCCTCTATTTTAATTGGTAGCATAGGTTCTTCGTTAGCATTAGTTGTTAACATTGGAAGCTGATTATCCCCTATAGGATTCTCTGGGCATCTTCAATATCCCTTATTGGGTCCTCTCCAAGGATTAACTGGACCTTGGTTAGGATTTGGATATGTTTGATGCCAAGTTACCTCCCTTCAACCCCGAGGAAACTGCTCCCATGGATTGGTGGGACAGTCTTTTTTGGTGTGTCCTGATAATCCGCAACCCCAACACATGCCTGTAGGTGTCACATAGGCTTTGCCATTCCCTCTTTGCTCTTTGGGTCTTTTTCTCCAGGTCGCGGCTGCTGGCTGTTGGGTATAAATGTTTATTATGGGTGGAATCATTTGGGTATTAGTTGGAAGTTTAGCTTGTGAGGCAGACTGCATAGCTGGTGCTGGAGCTGTAACTGGAGCCATCATTGTTAGTGGTTCCCCCTCCTCTGTCTCTACAAGAGCTTGGATCTTTTTCTTGTTCTTTTTATTCAGTTCATCAAGTTGCAATTGAGCTAATTTTCTTTGCAGCTCACTTTCTTGCTTTTTGAGTTTTTGTTCATTTTTCCTGTACTTCTCAACTGCATGTGCCACATAATCACAAAACTCTTTGTGAGATTTAGAGTTTAACCCCACCGCATCTTCTAACCTGCTCTTCACTGAGGAAGGCATAGAGTCAATTATGGCTTGTTGAAAAGTGTAGCCATTATAGGGTCTCTTTCAGGATCAATTTCAGTGTCATGTTTCCATTGTCGTGAATGTCTCTGAACATACGTTATTGGATTCTCTGTTTCCCCCAACTGATCACCTCTTAACATATTAGGGTCCAGTCTTAGTGGATACTCTGCACGCAGTGCCTGTCAAGGTTAGAAGCGTGAAGGATTTAATCAATCTTTGCTCCTCCTACAGTCTTTGCAAGAAGAGATTTAATGTCTCCCAAAGAAATCAATTTTCAAACTGATTCCTCTTCAAATACCCTTTTCCACTTTGCTGCCCCCTCATGGATGTTTGGGAGCCTAGCAATCAAACCCTCCAAATCCAATGTAGGCCAAGGGACATACTGTGCTTGTGCACCCTTTATTAAAATTGGGCATTGTTTAAATGGCCTAAGCCTGTTCCCCCTTTCCCAGTTTCCTGTATCAAGTATTGACTCCTCCCAATCTTCTTCCTCATCTGAACTGAATAAGAATCTCCTTTTTTGTTTTACTTTGTCATATGTGTCTTTTAACAGTTTTTCAGTTTCTCCAATTGTACTTCCCATGTCAATATCTTTAATTCCACCCCATGCTCCCCTTCCCTTATTATATAATTTTGTCTGCTCTTTTGGTTCCCTATATTCTAATTTGTCCTCACACTGTTTATTCATTTGTTCTAACGCTTCACAGGCCTGTTTATAACAATCCAAGGGTGCATATGCCCCTTTATTTTGCTTATTTGCTGATTGTTTTGATTTTACGCTTGCCCCTAATTGTTTTTCCTCCATTTCCATCTCTCCTTCCATTTTAAGTTCTCCTGACACCTCCATGAGCCCTTTAAGCATAGGGAATTGCCCTTCAGCTTGTAAATAAGGTGGAGGGCTATTAAACATTTGCTCTTTAGCAGTGGTTTCTTTGTCAGCCTCTTTCAGCATTTTTCTTGCCTTTTTAATATTTCTTAAATTATCTTCTCCTTTTTTGAACATGTTTAACACTTCTCTCTCTTTTGCTCTTTTTTCATCTCTTTTTTGTCTCCTTCTGCTACTACCTTTTCTTTTATAATTTTTTTATTTAAGTATCCATTTCTTCACATAATGCTACATCAAAAGTTACACCTTGTGGCCAGATTGTCATCATATTTTTAGTTCTAAGTTGCCACTTTTTTGAATATTTATCAATAAGCTCTTTACACAATGGATACTTTGATCCTAGTATTTCTACTGGAGAGCTTGCCATTGCTATCTTCTTTATCTGTAAACTATTATGTGTTTTTATTTTGTTATTCTTTTATTTATTTGTTTTATCACTTGATTGTTGTTCTTCTTCTTCTTATAATTATTTTTATTATTATTATGATTAAAACTTTGTTTTTATTATTTGTATTTGACTTTAATAAATTTTCTTTTTCCACTTGTTTGGTATCTGAATTTTATTTATTTATTTTTATTTATTTATTATTATTATTGTTATTAATATTATTGTTTTTTCTTATTTGTTTATTTATTCTTCAAATAAGTAGTTTAAATTTTATATAATTTGTACGTCTTATTAATTTTTTTTTTATTTTTATATATATATATTTTTTATTTATTGAGTTTTTTATTATTGTGACTTTTTTTTCTTGTCTAAATATCAATCAATATTAATTGTTTATCCTTCTATTTTATCCTTTATTTATTTTAGTCAAGTTATGTTTATTTATTTATTTTGATTGTTAATTTATTTATTTAATTTTTATATTTATTTTTATTTTATTATTATTGTTTTACCCTCACTTTTATTTTAAATTTTAATTGCTGCAGCACAAGCCTAATTATTATTATTATTACTTTTTTATTTTAACTAGGTAACTTTTCCATTTATTCAACTTTGTTTTCCCAAATCTTTCCTCAATTTTTATTCACCTTTCTTTCTTCAAACATTCATTCACTTTAATGCTTTATTGCAAACACACTTCTAAAAGCATTCACTCCTCTACCCCCCTTATCCTATGGGGTTCATGTAATATTTTATCACACACTTTTTAAAGCATTTACTTTTCTACCCTCCTTATCCTATGGGGTTCATGTATTAACCTTATTCAATACCGCAATCTCACGGACACAGAGCCCAACACACACAGGCTTTCAACACTTTCCTAAGTGACCTGTTACTTCTGCTTCCAATCTCTACTGCTCTACAGTAAAAATAGCATTTTCCAGGAATTTTGCCTTTTTTCCCCCAGCCTCCTGAATCATAATATTTATTATTATTAAAACAGAACGGGTACTCCGAGGTCTTTGCGCGCTTCTCTCTACTTTATTAATCTGTTTTAACTTATTAATCGTCACAATATATTAAGATTTTATCCTTACTTCCTTCAAAAAATCTTTAATATAAGTAACAATTAGTTGTTAATGTCTTATCTTTATCCTCAAGGCCCTCTTAAAGCAAGACACAGATTGTTGCATGCAACATTTTCTTCTGAAATCAAAACCCTTTTTTAAACGTATTAATTATTTAAGTTTGGAAGAGCACTTTGAGTGTTTTTACCCTCACAAGCAGAGTCCGTCGAGCCACACAATTTTTCATTAAATAAGCAAAAAATTGCTTACCTTTTTTTCACAGTGGCCACTGCAATTGTGTCGCCCGCATCAGACTCCGCCAGCGAGGTCCCCACTCTGTTGCTCCTAGCCAAATCACGTCGGGGTCACCAATTTGTCGTGTTCTGTTCATTGTCTTTCAATCAGCAATCGAGTCAGTGGGTCTTGATTTCAAAAGTTGGATTTATTGCCAGACAATAAAAACGAGAGGCTAACAGACAAACAAATGTCTCTCCATGAACCTCTGCCTCTCTGTGTCCCTGTCTTGCTTTTATACATGTAGTGTTGCAGACTTTTCCCACAGATATGGTCTTGTGCTGTGAACCTGCTATATTTTTGGCTGTGTGCCTTTTGAACTCAGGTATATTCTTGGCTGTTTGCCCTTTAAGTGCTGGTTTAAAGTTTACATGTACTCAGCTAACTACTAGGCTTGCTCTTACTGTTATACCTTCACTTCACACTTATTTGTACACATATTTATATGATTATACAGAATAACATGTTCATTGCATATGTTAAACAATATATGTTTACTTGCACATTTGTACACAATGGGAGATATTTACTGCATATTCACTGCACACTTTACCAAATATATGTTCACTGCACACTATTGGAGACAAGATTACAATTACTCCGTCATTATTCGCCTGATTTTCTATTTAATTATGAGGGATAAGTATTGCATTTTAATGAAATTTTGAGAACTATTTTTGCTGAATTAGCTAGTCGGATGGTTATCATAACCACACTTTTTGATGTACCAAAATTTGCTTACCATACTACCATATATAGTGTTTATTTCCAAATGTGCATTTAAACTGTAAGCTTTATATAACAGTTTTATAATTAATGAAAAGTTAGAATAAAGAACGATAAAAATGTACTTCTTTTTAAAATACAATTTATTATCATATTATTACTTTTTTAATCTGTTAAAACTCGAAGCCTACAGGCAAATAACAAACTGACCAGTAAATTTAACTCTCCTGTCAGAACTTATATATATAAAATAACGAAATTCATTCTTGGGGAAGTGTTTATTCACCCGTGCCCACCAATGTCAAGCGCAAATGCCCTTGATACCGACATCAACTTTCGGTGCTTCAGCTGATATATTCAAATATTTCACCCGCTATGGCTCACGCTAAGGTGGAGGAAAAGGTTATGACGCTTGTCATAAAGCACAATATATCAGCGTTTTCAAACAAATAACGTTTATTTCAGGTTTCAGATACTTAAACACATTTTAAATAGGCTACCAAAAACACACCAATTGGTTGTGAAAAATAACCGCTGAACTCTAAGGAGCCGGTTATTTTACACATAAAATGGATGAGTTGCGTTATTCACAATGTAATTAAGTTAAAATAGTTACGCTATTCTTCTTCCACTTGTGGTCATGTGGTAACGTTAACGTTTATGTGAATTATCAAGGCATCTGCTCCTGGCAGTGCTCTTTGCCCTTCATAGATCAAATATCATAATTAAGCTGTTAAAATGGCAACGTTTTGAGGATCGTAATATCAGATAACGTTAGTTCACAATATAATTAGGACGTCAATATCTGCAGAAAAGGGTAAAAAGAAAAATGAACGTTATATTCATAATCATCTCCATCGGATGCACGGCCGGCCAGACGTGCGAGTCGGTAAAGTCTAACTGCAGATCCGGACCTCAATATAACATCATTTCTGTTACTGTTTAGGCTAACAATAATTTAATAAGTAATATAAATAATTCTCGTTAACTCCCGGCCGCAATCATAACGTTATCTGATCTAGCAACAACACTCCAGCTCACATGGTAAACTTTATGCGTCGCCATAGAAACTTTGAAAATAACGGAAACTGCTGGGTTTAGCGGGAGTATTTAAATATTAAGAAGGCCTACATGAAGGATAACTGATGATAAACGATAAAAAAGTCAGCAAAACTGCTATCCTGGCTTCAATCTAGGAAGAGATGTGTTCAGGAGGAGAGTGTATCCAGCACGAAAAAGGAAGGGGAAGAGAGTGAGATGAGCACAAGTTATAAGAATGTTGGTAATGTCCCATAGCATCTACCAGCAGCAGCGAACAACACAAAACGGTGAGAAATTATGACTCAAGCTACATCAAATTTGGGTTTATTTGGAGCGGGGAAGAGAAAGACCCCAGGCCACAGTGTGTGATATGTGGCAAAGTTCTTAGCAATGCTTCCATGAAACGATATCTTATAACCAAGCATACTGCGCTTAAGGACAAACCTATGTTTTTTTTTTTTTTTTTTTTTTACGAAAACATAATGAAGTTAAGCAGTCAAAAACCACAATTCAATCCTGCAGCACACCTATAGTCAGAGCACAGGAAGCTTCATATCATGCCAGCCTCAGGATCGCCAAAGCAGGTAAACCGCACATGATTGGAGAACAACTGTGTTTACCTTTAGCCAAAGAAATGACACGCATCATGTGTGGAGAGAAAGCTGCCAAATAGTTAAACTTGGTGCCACTTTCGAATGACACTGTGTCACGGAGAATAAAAGACATGGCTGATGATGTTAAAAAAAGTGATTGAGCGTGCTAAAAACAGTCGGTATTTTGCCATCCAGCTTGATGAGACTACAGATATTGCTGATTTGGCCAATTTAATGGTTTATGTGAGATATGAATATGATGGTGGAGCTCTGGAGGACTTTATGTTTTGCCAGTCACTTGAAACCCGAACCACAGCAGAGCACATATTTCAAGTACTGGACGCATTTATCACAAAGAACAAGTTGGACTGGAAAAAGTGTGTGGGAGTGTGTACAGACGGGGCGAGGGCTATGACAGGTCGTCATAGTGGAGCAGCAGCTCGCATCCGAGAGGTGGCACCTGAGATGCAGTGGACTCACTGCAGCATCCATCGTGAGGCGCTGGCTGTGAAGAAAATGCCTGATGACCTGAAGTCTGTGCTGGACTCCGCTGTGAACTTCATTAAGGCCAGACCAATGAATGCTCGCTTATTTCATGTGCTCTGTGAGGAGATGGGCAGTGAGCATGTCCAACTCTTGCTTCATACCGAAGTAAGATGGCTTTCAAGAGGAAAGGTGCTTTCAAGGCTTTTTGAATTGCACAAAGAGGTCCAGATGTTCTTACAGGACACAAATTTTCTCTTGTCAGACATTTTTGAGGATACTGTGTGGCTCAGTCAGCAGGCATACTTGTCTGACATTTTTTCACGTTTAAACATGCTGAATTTAAGACTACAGAGACTCTCCATCAATGTATTTGATGTGCAGGACAAAATCAATGCACTACTGAAAAAGTTGGAGTTATTTGAAATCAAAGTCAAGACAGGTGATGTTTCAGCTTTCCCTGCTTTGGAGAGTTTTCTGTCTGACAATGAATTGACACTTGATGATGGAGTGAAGAAGAACATCGCTGCACACCTTGTGTCGCTAAGAGAACAGTTCAGTGATTATTTCCCAGTGACGCATATAGCTAAAGCGAGCAGCTGGATAAGAAACCCTTTCAGCATTGACACCCCTCAAATGGCTTTTGCAAACTTAACTCTTGGTGAGCAGGAGAGTTTGATAGAGTTGTCCTGTAATGAAACATTGAAGGCAGCTTTTCGAAAGCAGACATTGTTAGACTTCTGGATAAAGCAGCACAATGAATACCCTGTGCTTTCGGATAAAGCCATACGCATTCTCCTTCCTTTTGCGACCACATATTTGTGTGAGAAAGGCTTCTCTTCACTTGTTGTCATAAAGACAAAGTACAGAAGCAAGGTGGATGCTGAGCCAAACCTGAGACTGAAGCTGACCTCCATTGACCCAGATATTACCGGACTGTGCTTACAGAGGCATGCACACCCCTCACATTAATTCAATTCAATTCAATTCAGCTTTATTTGTACAGCGCTTATACAATGTAGATTGTGTCAAAGCAGCTTCACATAAATGGTCATAGTAACTGGAACAGTGTGGTTCAGGTTTTAGTGTTTAAGTTCAGTTCAGTTCAGTTTAGCTTAGCTCAGTTCAGTGTGATTTAATCATTACTGAGAGTTCAAACACTGAAGAGCAAATTCATAGATGCGTAGCTCTACCAATCCTGAACCATGCGAGGCAGTGGCGACAGCGGAGAGGGAAAAAAAAACTTCACCTGATGGGAGTGAAGAAAAAAAAAACCTTGAGAGACCCAGACTCAGTTGGGCACAACCATTTTAATTTCTCCGCAGGCCAAAAGTCTTGTGCAGAGCTTCATTCGCCGTGGTTGAGGCTGGAAGATGGCCTCAGCGAAGACTCGTCTGTCCCTGGAGCGTCGCTGGAATCAGACTCATGTTCTCCACTCCCCACGACCATCAGCGCAGCAGCAGCTCAGGATATGGCCTGGTCCTGGATATGGAATCCTTGGGATCATCACGTCGCTGGTCTTGGATCCAATCAGTGACTCCGCATAATCTGAGGACCTCGGGATGAGTATCCCCAGGTGAAAATAGAGAATAAAGAAAATAATTAGCGTAGCTGCTGTTCATAGTGTATATAAGCAAGATGCAGAAGCCTGTGTGGAACCCGCTAGGTGATGCATTGAGTGTATGCTTTACTAAACAGATAGGTCTTTAATCTAGTTTTGAACTGGGAGAGTGTGTCTGAGCCTTGGACGTTATCAGGAAGGCTATTCCAGAGTGTAGGAGCCATGAAAGAGAAGACTCGACCACCTTTACTTGATTTTGCTATTCTAGGTACTACCAGAAGCCCTGAGTTTTGAGATCCTTAAGAGCGAGTTGGTTTGTAGCGAGACAGAAGGTTGGTTAGAGAAACAGGAGCTAGATTATTTAGAGCTTTATAGGTGAAAATTGGGGAAAATTGGGGTTATTTGATCATATATGATCAGAACTCTGGCTGCTGCATTTTGTACTAATTGAAGTTTGTTAATAGAGGATGCTGGGCATCCAGCAAATAGAGCATTACAGTAATCCAGCCTAGAGCTCATAAAAGCATGGGCTAGCTTTCTGCATCAGAGATGGATAGCATACTTTGTAATTTAGCGATATTTCTCAGATGAAAGAAGGCAGTTTTTGTGACATGGGATATATGGTTTTCAAAAGTTAAACTGCTGTCTAATATGACACCCAGATCTTTTATAGTAGCGCTAACGCTAACTTTGTATCCTTTTAATTGTAGATTGAGTAGCGAGATCTGCTGTGTACAAGATTTAGGCCCAATAAGTAATAATTCTGTTTTGTCTGAGTTTAGGAGAAGGAAATTGTTGGTCATCCAGTCTTTAACATTTCTAATACACTCAGTTAGTTTAGACAGTTCAGACATCTCGTCAGGTTTAGTTGAAATATATAGTTGAGTATCACCTGCATAGCAGTGAAAGCTGATCCCATGTCTTCTAATAATGTCTCCCAGAGGTAGCATGTAAATTGTAAACAGCAAAGGGCCTAAAACTGATCCTTGAGGCACCCCATACTGCATTGGGCTGACTGGTGAAGGCTGTCCATTAATATTCACAAACTGGTAGCGGTCAGTTAAGTATGACTTAAACCATTGTAGAGCCTGTCCCTGGACACCTGTAGACTTTAAGCAATTTATGAGGATATTGTGGTCAATGGTGTCAAATGCCGCACTAAGATCGAGTAAAACTAATAGCGAGACGCACCCTCGGTCAGCAGCTAAGAGTAAATCATTGGTTATTTTCACTAAGGCGGTTTCTGTACTGTGATGAGCCCTGAAACCTGACTGAAACACTTCAAAAATATTGTTTGTCTGCAGAAAAGAGCATAATTGAGTGGAAACAACTTTTTCTAGTATTTTAGATATAAATGGAAAATTTGAAATAGGCCTATAGTTAGCTTAGTTGTTGGGGTCTAGTTGCGGTTTCTTAATAATAGGCTTAATAACAGCTAGCTTGTAAGAGTTTGGAACATGGCCTATAGATAAAGAAGAGTTGATAATGTTAAGAAGAGGTTCTCCTATAGCAGATAGCAGCTCTATCAGTAATTTTGTTGGAATTGAGTCCAGCATACACATAGCTGGTTTAGAGCTATTTATAATTTTATCTAGCTCTTCCTGTTCTATGATTTTGAAGCACTGTAGGTTATTATTATTATTACGACTCAGTGAAATATTTACAGGATTTGGAGTATAAGCCGGTGCAGAAAGTTTGGCATCTCCTATTTTCTGTCTAAAGCCTTCTATTTTATCACTTAAAAATTCATGAAGTCATCACTACTAATTTGCGGTGGAACATTTTGTTCCATAGTTGACCAATTATTTGTTAATTTAGCAATGGTGTTAAATAAAAATTGTTATGATTATTTTCTGTCAGTTTGCGCAGGTGCTCGGCCCTGGCAGATTTTAGAGCCCTTCTATAGCTGGACATACTGTCTTTGTACGCAATTCTAAAGACCTCTAAATTTGTTTGTTTTTTTCCCATTTATGAGCTAATGTTGTTTTTAATTAATATTTATGTGTGATTGCAGTCATTATGTTCAAAGTACTATGGTAAACAATACTAAGAGTGTGTCACACAAGCTGTCACTAAACAAATGTGCGAATATAAAATCAACTTTACCTTAGTTGAGGTTACTCCGTGAGCCTACAGTGAAGCACAGTTGAGCGAGAAGCCCGTGGAGAGAAAGCCTTCAGCTCCGCGTCAGCATGTCTCCCAAAGTCTAATAAACACACCAAAAAGCAAACAAAGTCACAACGCTGTAACTATACAAGACATTTATTATACTAGCAAACTGATGCTACTTGCCGTCTTATTATATGTTCACATTTTTACACACTTTAAAAAAGTATATTTAATATGCTTAACAATACAAGCTAGCAGCAGTGCTAGTCTACTCCAAAGTAAACACATTGCGTTGCTTCAAATTACTCAATCATGCTCACTGACTTGAAAGTTGACAAACATAAATGAAAAACGAGTTGTCTTACCGTGTACAGCTCTTGTTTTCGTCGAGCTGCATCTCCGACTGATCCAGGAGTGTTTCTCGCTGTTTTCGCGTCTGCTATCATTCTTAGGATTCATCCCACTTCATGAACCAAAATAGCAACATGAAACTTGTGGACTTGATATGTTGACAGACTGGAGTTTGTGCAGTTCCCATAAACGTAATAAAATAGCACGATGATGATAAATTACACCAAAACTAACAACCATTTCTGCTGTTAGCTCCTCTGCCCCACTGTAAACAACGCATACCTGTCACATAAGTCACTCTTCTGATGTCACCGGGGACGAAAGCGGACTTTCCGGAAGTAGGAAAACAGACACATTTTCTTAAAAATTTGTGCTTTTGCAGTTTGTAAAACATTTTAATATGATATTTTATGGTATTATAGAGTATTTTCACAAACGATTCTACCTTTTTTTTTTTAAACAGTTTTTTAACCTACTATATGCTGTTTAATACCTGTCGCTCTGCCTAAATTATCAAATATTCATCAAGTTTGTATTCTACTCAAAAAAAGTAAATGTAGTAAACTAGAAATAATCTTGATCCTAGAAGTAACGAAACTTTACAAATAAAAGATGCAACATAGGACAATTGAATGGGTTTTCTAAACTTGAGGCCCTGGTATATGCAAACTAACTGTCCTGGAGCTCCACCTTCTTTGATGTGCGGTGTCTTACCAGTGATGCTACCCATTCAGGGAGTCAGACAGAGAACATCATCCAAAACAACACTAGCTACATGAATACACTGGAGAGTAGAGTACAGATGTATCCGCACCTGTACAATCACCTGCAAAGAGAGATTTTAATCTGCAGAGGTGCTGTTTGCCAGATGTTTATGAAACTGTTCTTTCAGCCGCCATCATTGTGTTTACAGTAAACGTGAGCAGCACAACACATTTACAACCCCACCTACTGCAGTGTAGGAGTGTTGGAAAACAGTATACCATCACTCAGCCTTTTCAAACATTATTCAGACATGAAACATCCTGTGCACATGAGAAAATGTTTTGCTGCATTCATGTCATGTTTGCAACTTTTGTCCAATTCTGTAGACACTGATTAGATCTGTACGGTTTCTCTCCAGTGTGAATCCTCTTTTGTGTTTTCAGTTGTGTTAACTGATTAAACCTCTTGTCACAGTGTGAACACTTGTACGGTCTCTCAAGTGTGAAACGTCTGGTGCAGTTTCAGTTTTGTAATAAAAGTCTTCTCACACTCAAGCACATATACTCTTTCACACCAGTGTGGATCTTCATGTGTTCATTAAGGTTTGCTGATTGGTTGAAACTCTTCCCACACTGAGTGCATGTGAATGGTTTATCTCCAGTGTGGGTCTTTATGTGTTTATTAAGGTCTGAGGAGTTGCTGAAACTCATCCCACACCGAAGCTGCAGTCACACTAGAGTTTGAGCATGCAAAATTCTTTTGTTTGGCACTGCGAAAAGGGGCGGGATTAAACAAGATGATTAGACATAAAAAGTGAGCGATTGGTCCATATTTCAAATTTCTGTCCATAGAGGTCATGTTTTTATCTTTAATTGGTCTCACACAGTCAAGTGATGAGATTTCGCAGGTCAGAGTTCACCAAGCTTAAACTTTGCAACGCAGTGAACTGCGAAACTTAACACACAAACTTGGTTTGTGGTCTGACGCATTCCCGTGCTTATGAAAGGAAATCCATGGGGAGAAAAGTCCAGTGTGACCACGGCTTAAGTGCAAGTGAATGGTTTCTCTCCAGTGTGGATCATCATGTGTCGATTATGGTGTGATGATCGGCTGAAACTCTTCCCACATTGAGTGCATGTGAATGGTCTCTCTCCAGTGTGCATCTTCATGTGTTCATTAAGGTGTGATGATCGGCTGAAACTCTTCCCACACAGAGTGCATGTGAATGGTTTCTCTCCAGTGTGGATCCTCATGTGAATCTTAAGATCCCATTTTC